TCTGTTGAACCGTATCGAGCTTTCTCGCTGATCGCAACATCGGTATCGCGGTGATCACTGTCACTATTGCAATGAGTTCTCTGCAATTGAACTGCGCTCTCCCGACTGCGGACAGAGGGCAACTGACAAAGTACTGAATCGCATAACATAGATAACATGGCAAAGTGTATGCTTCTCCCCGTGGTAGCTGTGAAAGCTTGTCGTATACCCAGAAATGGTCAACCAACGAAGCTCTGGATATCAAGGCAACGTTGGATACGAGAAACACTCCGATGAGAAATCCAAACGGAAGTACTGGAGAGGAACTGTCTATATAATTTCGCATGGAAATATTATGAAATTTTTGCATTAAAATAGAAATGAAATAACTTCTAAATGGACATGGAGATCCGTAGTCACGTCGGAGAATGAAAACTAAGCATGAAAATAGACAAAAAGGAAACGTCAAGTCGCGAATCTGAACAGAAATATAGAAATTGGTTAAAGTGACATAAATACAACGAATTTGCTGACTTACGTCCTGAAGTGAAGCGTGTAATTTGCCAATATAATAATTTTTAACGCTATTTCAAAGAAAGTACTGTAATCACACAGATGTAACTACTGTTCTGCAATGTAAATTAATGCACTCTCAGTGCGAAACATCACAGAAGCTGATGAACTTTTATAATCTATGTATGGCGAAAGCTTAGAGTTCAGACTGCTGCAGCGATGGCTGATAGATGTGTATTCTGCTTCTAAAGCTGACGATATATTGGGATTCATTAATTAAATGTTTTCAAAGATTACTGACGCGGTCGAAAACGGAACTGGTTTTCACAGATATCTGACTCTACGATGTAGATGCTGATGCTGGCTGACAGGCAAGAATTGGAGGCGCTTAATGCGCTCTGTCAAACCTCCCTGCAGGACACTAATTGGCACTTTTTCCTATAGAATACAAAGTGTAATGGTATACTTCTGATGCAACAGCACCTTCCCATCATGGACATCACAGAATCAAACGGGACAAACGATCATTACCATGTTGAACAGTCGAACCAGCTACTTAGTTCTAACAAGTAATGCTAGCTAGTTCGAATAATTCCAAAGATGGATGAGTAATGGGAATTTGGACGTAGGAAGTAGAGGTCTTCGGGAGAAAACGAAACGGAATGGAATTGCCTAAGCGTCATACTAGGCTCGTTGTTAATATGAAAAAGTGACTCCACATGCACACAGACTCATTCATTAATTCATTTCTAAAGGTCAGACAGTATAAATCTGACTGACTCTGCTGTTTAAGCTGTCAGCTTCAGATGACGCCGAAAAAACTGCAGCATTCATTCGTGCATCCGTCCATTTAATCATTCATTCATTCATTCAGCAACTTTATTCGCTCGATTCAATAGCAGTATGACATTAAAACAGCATCGATTGTCGATAAATTCAGGTAAACTGGAAGGCTACCCTAAAATGGAGGTTAACATTTTTCTTCCATCCTTTCCTTGAAAGTAAAAATTCCTTCTCAACAGCAGACCTTACTACACGTTGCCTCGAAGGTACACATGCATGGCCAATGCTTCTGAAATTACGTTTGTAAGTCTGTACGGATGAATCAGACTGATCATCATTTAACTTTAGACGACGATGGCCATTCTTACCACCGTTCGAGGTTTTTTCAAGCACTGCTGAGACCGCTCAGATACTGACGCTGGATTGTATTGACGAAGGTAAAACGAATCGAAGTGGAAGAAAGCTGCCATCTTCGGATGATCCAAAATAAACTCAGCATTTATATCATCTGTCTTTAATAGAATTGAATTCAAAGACTCTTTTGGTATCGAATGTTAATTCGTTCAACTTGTTCATTAGTTCCTGCGATCCTGCTGGAAGAATCCTAGTGCCACATTGCCGTGTAGACGTTGCTCATCTGGATAGATAATTCACAAAATTTCTTCCACCATGGGCTTTTCCGCTGTGAAGAAGTGCGTCCTCTAGTCAGGCATTTAAGTACATAAATGCGTCACTCTTAGGAGCAGCACTCATGAATGGATTGCTGAAGCATATTAAACATACTATAAATACTATTGATCAGAAATTAGTTCCTTATTCTATTAAACAGTAATTCTGAAATGCATCATACAGAACAACTACAAGCTGTAGAGTTTTAGCGAGAAACCGCCACATGCAAATCTGCTTCAAGGCACCCACTATATTGGCTTT